GCAGAGGCGGAGCAGCTCGCGGCAGCTGGGCCCCGCGCTGCCCCCCGCCCTGGCGCGGCGGCGCCCCGCGCGCCAGCGGCGCCCCGACGGCCTGGCCGGCCGCGCGACGTCGCCGTCGGAGAGCGCGCCCCTGCCGGGCGCGGCGGCGAGAGCGCCGAGGAACATCTACGCGAGCGCCCCCGCCAGGAGGAGGAAGAGGCGCAGGGGGGCAACGAGCGGGGCGGCGACGCGGGGGGGGCATGGGGGGGAGGCGGAGGAGGGCATGGCAAGGGCCGACGAGTTGGAGGGGCGCGAGGAGGAGAGCGAGGACGTGGAAGAGGCGGAGGTGGATGAAGTGGAGGAGGTGGAAGAGGAAGATGATGATACATGCAGCGAGTAGGACGAGAAGGAACAGGAGGAAGATAGAGATTGGAAGGAGGAGGAGGGGGGCGGAGAGGGCGGAAGGAAGCCCCCGCCAAACGAAGAAGAGAAAGGCGAGTAGCAAGCTAAAGCGATTCTCTCGCCCCCCCCCCCCCCCCCCACCCACACACACGCCCCCACCCCCGCCCACCCGCGCCCACGCGCACACGCGCGCGCACGCACACGCACACGCACACGCACACGCACACGCACACGCACACGCACACGCACACACACACACACACACACACACACACACACACACACACACACACGCACACACACACACACACGCACACGCACCACCACTCTCGGAGAAACTACCCTGCATCTCTGGCGAAATCTCACAAAAGCATCGCGCGCTCGTCAAAAACGGGCAACTGCCCGTTCGGCTGTCCGCCCCTACTCTTCTCGCGTGCCGTCTTCCCGTCGGCGCGGGCTGCGAAATTTGCGATGGCTGACGACGCGCGCGACGCGCGCCACGGCGCGGGCGTGCGATTCTCGCCGACTTCAGCGTCGCAGCTGTGATCTCGCGACCTGTTCCCGCCTCCAACCTGCCCCTGCACTGTCGCGATGGCCCTCTCGATTTCACCGCGGGCTCGGGGGCCTTCAACAGGGCCGACTTCCACCGCCGCACCCAGATCGCACGAGGCGTTAACTGCATCTTTGAAGGCGACCAGCGCCGGTTCGCAATTACGTTTAATGGTCATGTTCCTCTGGCCCGCAAACGCAACCACATTGCCCATTACTGCAACTGCGCATGGGTCCACTTTCTCGTTTGATAACTACCCTCCCCCATGTTAGTTTTGCTTCTAGGCGGTGGTTCGCGAACGCGGGGCCACCTGTCTCGTCGGCAGAGCCGCCTCTTTTTTTGCCCGTGGACCGCAGGTAGTCGACTGCCTCATGTCCCCGCGGCCCCCCTGCCCCTCCTCCTCGCCCTCGGCCCCCCGCACCTCCGTGACCCTTGCCCGCGGAATACTGGCTGGGCGCGGCGCGGTTGCGTCTTTGGGCATGGTTTTCGCTGCGCCTGTGCACGTTGCCTGGTGGCGATGCGCCCGCGCCCCCCGCGCGCGCCACATGTCGGGCCTGCTCATTCGTCTCTGTCCTCGTTGACTGCACCTACCCCTGCATCTTCACCCTGCGCGCTTTTCCTGGCCCCAGTGGCGGTGCTGCTCCTCTCGCCGCCGCCGGCAAGTCACCGATGTAGCCCGCGTCCTTGCACGCGCTGTCGCCTTCCAATTTCCCATAAAATTGTCGACACTTCTGATCCCCGTGGCACCGTTCCCCTGCCCGCCCGCGACTAACCCCTTCTCCCGGGCTGCATCGTCACGCGCCAAATGAAAGATTGTGATACTTCTCCTGCGTCAATGGGCCAGGGGCCCTAAAATGGCCCCGGAGTCCTCGAACCAATCGCTGGCATGCGACATCCTGGTTCGGGACGCGGCGGCGCGGCGCGGCAACGTCAAAGAGTGCGCCGACCCGTGCTTCTCCAGCGCTTCCCCCGACACTTTCCACTGCTCTAGCAGTGGCGCCGCGTCTCCGATCTGTTCGGGCCCGTCAAGGCCCATGGCCAAGCTCAACCCGGCGAAAAAGGCAGAGCAAGCAACTGCCGAGCACCACTTGCATATTTTGTGGCACGCCTGCAATTCGTCTCCGTCACGCAACCCCTATGTAATGTGCTGCTGGTGCCTCTGCGTCCAGCTTGTCATTGAGGACGCACCAGAGAGCCCCCATCAAATATAATCATTTGGTCGTTCTCTCCCTCAAGTTCGCATGGGTCGTCGTCGTCTGGTTGTTTAGCTGCTAGCGCTTTTGCGTATTCGGCCGCCGCTAACCGACCGCTGACTCTCTTCGCCATGTCGTCTACATCCTCGTCTACCGCACCGTCCAACGTCTCCACATTGTTGCGCAGGTGCTTGAGCGCCTTGCCGTCTAAGAGCTGCTCGGCTCATTCCCCGAATTTGCCTCGATCACAATCGACTGTCTTGAACAGCTGCATGGCCCTGTATACGCTAACCAATTTGGTACCCAAGCACGCAGGTTTGTGTTTGATCACGGCTATTGGGCCCGCTAATCTTGGTAACGCTGTCAAGCGTGTTTCTTCTGTCCATCAAATTGGTTTTCTCGGTGTTCCTCAAGTTCGCCACCAAAAGCCCAAACCCTTATCATCCCGGTGGCGTCTTGTCGTTCGATAGCCGTTTCCATACCTTCATAGCTGGCATGTAACGCGATGCTCAAATAACTACTATCGCCATTGTAGTAGGCAGCCTCGCACAGCTCCGTGAACCGAGTTTGGGGTGAACAGCCTGTCCCAATCTTGTGGCATGATTCGTCCACGCCCTGGGCCTTCTGGTCCTACAGCGGCCGTGGCAGCGGCAGCGCCCGCCGATGCTCGCGGGCGAACATCGCTCCGCTACCATACAAATCCCTTGGGGATATAGGCGCGGGAATGATGACGGAAGTTTGGCGGACCGTTACGTTCAACACGAACATGAAAGAACATGAACGATCAACCAAACAGGTGTCGATCACGACAAACGCTCGGTTTCGACAACACTATCAATCTCCTGAGCCAATCACCCTCGCGATTTTTTTGCTGGCCGCACCAGTAACGGGAACGTGCTGCAATCATCCGCATGTTCCTCCTCCGTCCTCATCCCTTCTCCCGCCTTGACCTCCCCCTCCCTATTTGTCCTCCTCATCGTCTTATTCCTCCTGCCTTTCCACCGACTATTCCTCCTATCCCCCTCTTGGGATACAACGTCTTACCCAATCTGTTATTCCACTTCAATATCCTCCACATCCCTGATCGGGGCAACCCGTCTGGACATCGTTTCTAAATGGGCTGTCGGGGTTACGCGAACCGTCCAGGGTCCGCATTGCTTCCTGACTTTCGGTTAACTTGCCCTGCTACAAGAATGCCTTCGTGAGCTGTCAACAGTTTTCCTCCGCCGCCTCCCAAACCTCCTCCTCCTCCTCCTTCTCCTCCTCCACCTCCTCCTCATATTCCTCCTCATATTCCTCCTCCGCCTCCGCCGCATCCGCATCCGCATGCCCCCCCCGCCCCTGGCAACTACTCGGAAGGTGGAGTGCATTTGGGGGGTCTTGAGGGGGCTCTTGAGGTTGGGACGACCAGCAGCACCGAAACTAACGCGCCCCCCCCTGCGGGAGGAGAGAAAGGGACGAGAGAAGGAGGACGAGAAAGGAGGACGAGTGGAGGGAAAGTTGAGGACGGAGGAGCGAGGAAGGGAGATTGGGATGACGACTCGGGAGGGTGAATGATGGAGCAGGAGGGATGAAAACTTCAGTGTATCCCCCCCTTTCTGCTCCCCTTGTCCTGCTCCTCCTCCTGCTCCTCCTCCTGTTCCTCCTGCTCCTCCTCCTCCTCCTCCTCCTCCTGCTCCTTTGCACTCCTAATCCCAACCTTCTCTTCGTGTTCGTTCTCCTCCTACTCCTCCCTCTCCTCCTCCTCCTCCAAGTTCGCCTCGTCATCATCCTACCCTCTCTGCTCGTCCTCCTTCTTCTCGTTCTCCTCGTCCTCGGCCTCGTCCTCCTCCTCCTCTTCCTCCTCCTCGTCCCCCTCCATATATTTTCCTAACTAACCTTGCGTGTCTCACCACCCGACGTGTCCGTAGGCCAGGCCGGGCGTTCCGCTTGACACCTGTTTACACTTTGACGTCCCAATGCTAAACCAGCTGCACGGGTAAAGGCGGGCCAGCTTCAAAATGTGGCTCTCGCCAAACCGCCGCGGACATTCGTATCCAACGCGCATTCGTCTTAAACGCAACGGAATGAGGGCTGGTAGTTTTCAGAATGTGATGCACCTTTGACATTCTGAATAATCGCTTCCAACTGGTACACGCATGGAAGGCTGGTCGTCCTCACGCTGTGGCTCTCGCCTGAGGGCCCGACAAACAGCAGTCTTGAAAAGCTCGCAACATCTACAACAGGTCGTTTCCAAACGGTGGCTCTCGTCTCGACGCCACACTCATTCGTCCGACAAGTTCCCAACAATCACACGGGATGGAGGCCCATACTGTTCCATGCCTAGCTCTCGTCTGAAGCGTCGCTTGGTTTTGCGTCAGGGCCGTATGACATGTACAACGGCTCCACGGAGCCAGGGCGGCATTGTCAAAGTGGGGTCGTCGCTGGGCACTCCCCCCCTGAACTCTGAGCAGTCACTTCGTCGCCCTTCGTTTCAGCTCGAAGGACGGAGGGCGGCTTCCTTCGAAACGGAGCTCCCGCCTGAGCTGCGGGCTCATAAGGGGCCCTCGTCATTGAAAGGGGGCGCCTCCCGCAATGTAGAACAGAATGCTCGTGGGGGGTAATGGGGAGGTGACTTGGCACAGGCGGGTGGATTGCATCACCGTTGATACATACTCCTCCTCCACCTCTTCCCCGCTCTTCCCTGCGTGCACCGCGCACTTCCAACAAGGGGGGTGGGACCCAAAAGTGCACGGACAGAGACTAGGCGAGGGGGAAGCCGAGGAGCAAGAGCAGAGGCAGGAACAGTAGAGCTGGCAACCCCCTGTCTAACTGAATACATGTATCCTCTGACATGCCCTCCGAATGCTGACGCGATGCAGCGCCCGCGCAGCGGCCTCCACTTCGTGCAGAACGTCTGCGGCAGTCGGCACCTCCCCCCGCGTAAACGCTTGACACTCGCCCTCTCGTGCCCCAGCCCCCCCTGGCGCCGTGAAACGTATTACGAACACACGACTTACACATACACATACACACCTACCCTTATACACGGGGTAGAGAGAGAGAGAAAACAACACCAAAAACAACAAAACATATACACGGGGACGTACCCAACCGTTTGGACATATGGGGCGACTACACACAAGAACGTTCAATACAAACGAATGCTTCGCTGGACCCCGGAGGAGCCCAAGGAATTTGCGACGATTGCACACTTCGCAGCCCCCCAATGACCAGCGAGATCTCGACTGGGTCTGTTGAGACCTCTTCTCCGCTGGACCTCCCAGGAGCCCACGAAATTGGGGACACTAGCGCTCTTCGCAGCTCCCCAGGGTCACGCGAGGTCTCGGCTGGGTCTGTTTACAACTCCACTCCGCTGGACCTCCCAAGGGCTCACGAAAAGGGCAACACTTGCGCACTTCGCAGCCCCCGAAGGTCCCGCGAGGTCTCGGCTGAGCCTGTTTACAACTCCACTCCGCTGGACCTCCCAGGAGCCCACGAAATTGGTGACAAATTGCGCACTTCGCAGCCCCCGGTGCCCCGACAGTCCCTCGAGATCTCGGCTGGGTCCGTTTACAAATCCACTCCGCTGGAACTCCCAGGAGCCAACGAAATTGGCGACAAATGCACGCTTCACAGCCCCCGAGGGTTCCGGGAGGTCTCGGCTGGGTCAGTTTACAACTCCACTCCGCTGGACTTCCTAGGAGCCAATGACATTGCCGACAGTTGCGCACTTCGCAGCCACCCAGGGACCGCGAGCAGGAGGAAGGAGAGGAGGGAGGAGGAAGGACGGAGGAGGAAAAGAAGTAAGAGTAAGAGTTAGAGTAAGAACCGCTGGACTGTGTCCTAGGGAGGAGGAAAAGGAGGAGGAGGAGGAGAATGAGGAGGAGGGGGGGGAGGAGGAAGAAGGAATGAGGGAAGGGGGAACGGATCAGACAGTGCTCCATCCAAAACGAGAACCCAACACTGGAGGCTTGGGGAAAAAAAGAGACAGGGAGATAAAGAGAAACAACAAAAAGCGGAAAGGGAAAAGGGAGATAAAGAGAGAGAGAGAGAGAGAGCAGGAGGGAAAGTGGGAAAGAGAGCAGAAGAGAGAGAGAGAGAGATTGATAGAGAGAGAGAGAAAGATAAAGAGAAACAGAGAGCTAGAGAGACAGAGGGAGGCAGGAAGGGAGGGAGAAAACGAGGAAAAGCAGAATCGATAGAGAGGGAGACTGAGAGAGAGAGAGAGAGAGAGAAAGAGACTGAACATTAACACGGAAGCGCAGGCTTCCTGAGAGCCATCCAACGAAGAGTGCTTCCCCGTCGCTCCCGAAAGGAGGTACGCCGGGTTTCTGACGCGCCCTCTGGCCAGCAGCAACAATCACTTACGACTGTTCGTCATTATTGGCTCGAGTGGCATTCAACATTAATCTCCAAATCCGTCGATACCCGCTCTCTTCGTATTCGATCGTACCCCCCTTGGGGGTATAGAGTCCTTACCTGCCACGTGTAACTGGCGCAACCCCTAAAACAGGGGAAGAACGGGCGGAGGGAGGAGACAAGGGGGAGTGAGAAGGATGGAGCACGATAGAAAGAGAGAGAGAGAGAGATTTGCACGATGAGGGATAATGAGCAGGACTACAAGAGGTAAAGCCAGACGGGAGGGTCGGCCAGGCAGACCCTGGCGGGCGGGCCCAGACGGCCGGGTCGGGCGGGCGGCTCGCTGAAGCGTCAATCGAAGATGAATCGCGAGGAAGACTCGAACGATAGCGGGTTCCCAAACAAATCGCGAGGAAATCCAAACCGAAAGCTTGATTCCTAAGTGTTGGGGACACGGCGCCGCATTAAAGTGCGAGGAACTACCACGAGAGAGCGCGATTCCTGGATAACATATGAAGAATTCGTGCACGAGAGCGCGAAATTGAAATAACTTGTGAGGACGCTTCAGGCGAGGGCCGTTATCTTGGTTGTAGTTCGGGGCCTAACAACGCATTCTGAGGCACAAGGACTCTCCCCCCCCCAGGAGGAAACAACAACTATTAAATAGACGAGCCCCGGAAGGAGCACTTTGATTCGAAACGGGCACCGAAGGGGAGATCGACAAGACGAACTCTTCAGAAATGAGAATTCAACAACAACACCAACAACAACGACAACCAAGCATCAAATGCTCAAATTGATCCGCCAACCAAACGGGCCAGAAATGTGCTATAATCTCCCGTATCTGCCGTGTTGTCTGTATGCTCCGCGCGCGCGCGTGGCGGCCTCTGGAAGACAAGGCCCCCAGTCGAGCCACGGACGTCGGAACTTCTCAGTGCGCGCTTGCTGAAGGATCCCCTGGAGCTCCTCAAGAAGGCGCGGAGGGAGCTCGAAGAGATCCCAAGATGGTACGAGACGGCCCAAGAGCGCCCGATGACACCAACGGCTGCCTCTGAACGGGCCCTGAAGCCACCAAAACGCCTCCACAACGTCCAAACGGGACCCCAAAAAGAACCTCGAGAGGCAGAAACCAATGATTACCCTCACGACCCATTTGCCAAAACCAGACGGTCGCCCCGAATTTTCACTGCCTCACCACGCGGTGTGGTCACCGAACCGTCGGGTGGGCCCTGGAAAACGGGCATCACCATGATCATCATGATCATCATCATGATCAGCATCCGCATCATCATCATCATCATCATCATCATCATCATCATCATCATCATCATCATCATCATCATCATCATCATCATCATCATCATCATCATCATCATCATCATCATCATCATCATCATCATCATCATCATCATCATCAGCATCAGCATCATCATCATCATCATCATCATCAGCATCAGCATCATCATCATCATCATATTCCGTAGCCATTTTGGATCAAGATGATGCGATCAGGGCAGATGTCAGGTCCCATGTGGCTGGCTCTAGCCGTCGCGTCACCCCTTGGGTCAGACTCCAAATTGAAAACGTTTTTAGCGAGGCCTTCGCGGTCATAGTTCATTCATGTCCATATCTTTTCCGACACTCGGCCCCGCTCGCCCGATTGGGGGCCCAGCTGCGGCGGGCTCGGCCAATTGCAAGACGTGGCGGGGGTGCTCGAGGTGCCGCGCGCGGTGGTGGCGGCAAAACAGGCACCGGAGGCGGACGGCGAAGAGGCGGTCAGCCAGGCGTGGGCGACACAAGTGGCGGAGGCCATGAAAAACTGGGCTTCCAACCGCATGTGCCGCAGCTGCGGATATGATTGGTGGGAACAAGGATCTGGTGCAAACTCGTGGTGGAGTGGCATGTCGCAACTGGACGCCAAGGAACGACACGAGCTCAACCACTTGTGCAGTAAGGCCAAAATACTTGAAGGTGGTACTCAGTCCGTCCCAGGCGGCGATGCAGGCTCACTACCAGCAGGAGGAGCGCAGTCACAAGCCCCGAAGGACGAACGAGCGCGGCGTCTTAGAAATCTACGTAATAATGTCAAAAAGCTGGAGGGTGTTGAGGGAGCCTCTGAGATCCTGATGTTGGAGCACGAACTCTCCGAGGACAAGCCCACGTCTGCCCAGCTCAGCGAGCTGGCACGCAAGCAGAAGAACCAGCGGAGCACCACCGAGGCGCTGGAGCGGAAGATCGCGACCGCCACGCAGGATACCGACATCATCTAGGCAGAGAAGCGAGAGATGGAGTGCAAACGCAAGCAGAGCAAGGCGACGGAGAAGGAGCTGCGGGCCCCGGTCGACAACCTCCCGGCCAAGCACGAGCGCGAGAGTGAAGGAGCTCCGCGCGAAGGGGGGCTCGGCGCAGGCTTCGGGCCTGCCGCGCCCCCATCCTCAGCGGCAGCACTCAGCCAGGGCGAGCGCGCCGACCAAGCCTTCCTGTCGGCGCTCGACCAAGCCTCAGGCGTGCCCAACAGGGGGCACGCACAGCAATGGTAGCAGCAAGTCTCAGGGTTCCGGCGCCTGGTTCATCGAATTGCCCCTGCAGGAGCGGCAGCGGAACGCGACTGCGGCGACGAGCAGGAGCTCGAGGAGGAAGATGTCAGCAACGCCCTGGACAGCATGGAGGAGGAGGCCGTCGAGGAGGCCAGCGCGGCGGCAGCAGGCGCAAGCTACGGCAAAGGGCGCGGGAGCTCGGCCCGAGGGCCCCGCGGCCCTGGCAGCCGCCAAGCGGAAGCATCGGGCCCAGGAGCTTCTCCGGGGTCTCCGCCCGCGGAGCTCAAGCGGAGGGGGAAGCGCGGGTGGCAGCCCGACCTTCGCAGTGGTGAGCCTCAACGGAAGCGGTTGGGGCCCCTTCGCCACCCTCCTCGGCGACAAGCAGGGGCCTCGGCAGTGCGCCGAGGCGCAGGCGCACATCGGGGGCGCGTTCTGTTTCCAATATCACCACCTCAACGGGCAACGCGCCGCGGAGCAGGAGCAGCGGCGCAGGCAGGCTGGCTGGGGCGCAGCGTTGACCCCTGGCGTCGCCGCCGAGGGGGCTTCCCAGCATCGCGCGGTCAACGGCGGCACAGGCGTCGCAGTCCGCCCGGCTCGGCGGATGCGCGGCCCTGGCGAGCACTGCGACAAGCAGAGCTGCCGTGTCCCCGACGGCAGGGCGACCGCGACACGCGTCAACGGCGTGGTGCCAGGCGGTTTGCTGCTCGGCTCAGTCCACTTGGACAACGATGGCGTCGGCGAGAACAGCAAGGCCGCGCTGCAGGACGTCGGGGCCCTCCTCAAACACACGCGCAGGCCCTGGGCTCTTGCTGGCGACTGGAACGTCGAGCCCGGCAGGTTCCACGAGCGGGCTTGCAACTGGCTGTGCAAGGTGAGCGGCCACGTTGTCGACGCGTGCGTGGGCACATGCCAGCGCTCCCTGTCCAAGGCGCCGCCCGAGCTCGACTGGTTCATCGTCAGCGCGGAGATGTTGGATAGGGTCCTGGCCTGCAAGCGCCTCGACATGACGGCCCTGGGGCACGCCGGCCCGTGCA